TGTTCTGTTGGACTCTAAGTCAGGTCAGAAGTTCTTCAGTCAGTACATAAGATGGTAGATAACCTTCAAAAAAACAATCTTAAATTAATGACTCCGCAAATACAGAATATCTTTACATCTAATCAGACTCGTGGTGTATGTCCTTGTAGCATGAGTTTAGAGCTTTAGCTGAAGGAAGTATGTAAACTCCTCCCCTAAATGATATGCTGCCTTTTCATTCCCTCAGTTTCTCTTTTTCTCTCTCTCTTTGAGCCCGGCCCGCTCACTCCCCTGTTCTGTTGGACTCTAAGTCAGGTCAGAAGTTCTTCAGTCAGTACATAAGATGGTAGATAACCTTCAAACAAACAATCTTAAATTAATGACTCCGCAAATACAGAATATCTTTCCACTTTACATCTAATCAGACTCGTGAATCCAACCAGTTGTCTTTTCTTCGAAAATCAACAAAAAGGAAAGGAATTTCACACGTTTTTTTTCTTTGAGTAATCCATCTGGTCTGACTTGTTTTTCATAGAACTCATAGTCCCTATCAACTCCATTACAGTAAAATACGCCCTCTTGCTCACATTCCAAAGGTGCTTTCTACAGCATATCCAGACACTGTGTGTGTGTGTGTGTGTGTGCGTGCATGATAGCATGTAAGGATCTTTAAAAATTCTGCTTTTTTCTTTAAATCATTATTATTTATTTTTCCAAGAATTTCCTATGCTTCTCCTTGGGTTTTATCTTGTTAGTAGGTCAGATAACAGACCAGGCCTTGGCTCATTTCTTGCTTTTCTCTCGGTTAAATATAAACCCTGGAACAGACTCCAGGTTCTACAGACTGTTGTTGAGCTATTACAAAAGTCCCCCTGAGATGATGGGGTAGGACATGTGACTGGTTGCCTGGGCTGTGAAAGAAGGCAGTATGTGCACTTCGGTGTGGTTAATTCCTGCCACAGGTCTCAGATGGTCTGGGTAAATGGATTACATACCACATCAATGATAGAGAATCAAAACCCCCACACTGGTGGAGCCATCAGGCCATGTGCCCAAACCATAGTCACGGCATTAACATGGCACACAAGACAAACAGCTGATGGCTTCCGCAGCACATGTTCCAAAGCTTTTTGGAATGCTTTTGCTTTTTGTGGTTAGCATATCGCAGTGTGTACATCTAATTTGTAAATTACATGAATAGCTAATCCATAGTCATTGAGTCAGTCTCATGAATGAACTGCCTTTTTTTTTTCATCTACAAAACAGGCTAAATGATTCATTTCCGAATTGGACTGATTGGGTTCTCAAGTTGAGCTTCCTTACTCAGTGTATCTCTTGGGGAAATATTATCAAAATTATTTGAATAAATGACTAAATATTGGGATATCCAATATATACATCTCAATATATACTTCAGTAATCAGTGTATACTTTGTTTTTAAAGGAATAGTTCACCCAAAATCGAGTCAGTAGGTATGTTTACATGGACACTTTTAGCTTCCATCGGAATGAATTCATTCTGATTGACGAATCCAAACGTAGTGTTTACATGAACGCTAAATAAAGTGATCGGGTTGATATGCGCATTTATATGTCACAAGCTTCTGATCGGATTTACTCTTTTGACATGTGCACACTGCATGAATATACAGAGATTCCCGCTGTTGTAGCATACTGTTTTAAAAAGTACACTTGATAATTATCTACTTCGGGTCCTAATTAGGCGACGACCAGCACATGAACTGTTGTGCTGTGCTACTTACTTTATAAAGTAGTAAAAGTGCCCCTTCCCGCGCCCAAAACCAGTTGTCTGTGGATGATAGTCTTAAACAAGGACTGGTGGGACGTTGTGCTGCTCCACTTCACAGACGCTGAGTGAAAGGGGAGTTTTATAATGACGGGACACTCATTTATGACACTTTATTCACCAGGAAGAACAGCTCAATCCGCGCGTCATATGTCATTAAGCTATTTTCACACCACTGCGCATGCGCAGTACTTTCCAGTTTCGGTTTTCAAATCGGCCAAGTGTTTACATGTCCTCTCGCTCGGATTACAAAGGGAATAAACCACCCCTTACAATCCGATCTGGCCAATTCAATCCGATTGACGTGGTTACATGTGACTATTTTATTCTGATTGTGCTTCTAGTCCTATTACGATCGGATTAGTAGGGTCCATGTAAACGCAGCTAGTGATCTGAACTTGGAAGCCATGAACATTTTTTTATTCCCAATGAACTGGTTGATCCACAAATCTGACTCAGACTGATCCGATTCCCAACTCACTAACTGGTTTGAGATTTAGTTACAGTTTGGGTCAACAGCTCACTTTTGCCTGGCGCTCTCCGTATACAAGACAAAAATATTGTCAGTTTGTGTTTAGTACATACATCATGTTAATCAGTGTTCATAGTTTTAGTTTAAGGAATCGTTTGCCCAAAAATCTAAATAAAGTCAGTGATTTGAAATCGGGAGCCATGATCAAATTTTTCTTCTTCTTCTTCTTTTCTTCTTCTGGATCAAACTGGTTGATGGTTTTTTGTTTAAATTTTAAATTAAGTTTTGTATTTTATTTTTAGAGTGACGTTGTATATTCTGTCCAGTAACTACTACTTTGCCTATAATTCTAGCACATTTACAGTGACATTTATTAAACTGCTCTGTACTTGCCAAATATATAAATATTTTTGGCAAGTTTAAAAAAAAAAAAAATTAAATGGTTTGTTCCACAGGTGAAAGACAATCATGTGAGTTTGAAATGATGTAAGGGCATTTTTGGGTAAATTAATCCTTTAAAGTACCTTTCATAGAAACAGCATGTGGTGTAATAAAAACTCATAACAGGTTAATAAATCTGTGGCTAGTGAATGTACCTCAGGGCAGCTCACAATGGGGTGTAGTTCAGGGAGGCATTGCGTTCCGGTGCCCCTTTGTACCAGTGCCCTAAGGAAGAGCAACTTCCTGTTGTTGTGGTCATATTTCAGTACAATGGTAAATCCAGAGCTCTGACCAGCAGTACAGCCCACGATATCCGCAAAAATCACACAACACACATACTCCTGGTACAGATTACATGGTGTGCACACTCCAGTAAAAGATATGCAGGCTGTAAAATCAAAGCTATGCAGGTTCAAATTCTGTGACAAACATCTATAATATAATATACCTCATAAATGATCACCAATTATGCAGGGTGAGTCAGTCAGTGTAATTATGCTCATTTAATTACTTAATTTCATGTGAAAAACAGCACATGCTTAACAAATAACTGATATCTGTTTTAGGATTTGACCTGGTTTCTAACAGGTGATCAGAATCGGCTTAAAAATAAATGTGATGTTTAAAATGGAGTAACTACATATCTAGGAAGTACTTGTCTCATACAGATGGGAGGGGAGTGTAGAAGTGCTGATGCTATGACAGGCAGAACAATGCTGACTGCTTACACTGTCTGTCTCAGACACTAACCTTATGGCCCTGTCAAAATATCTGACTGTCAGAACGAGAGCACCGCATGGTCAGGCAAAGAGAGCAACCGGAGTGAGATAGACCGACTGAGAGAGGAAGAAACGTAGAGTGTGTGAGGCGCCTGTCACATCCCTCCATTGTGCCGTTTCCTCTTGGCCTTTGTTTCTGTATACACATGACAGTAAAATACTTGTAACACACAGAGCCTTTAGGTTAGGACACACAAAAGAGAACAACTTGCAAGTAAGAGACTTCCTGTTAAATCCAACCACCTGTCTGCCACCCCATGGGCCAGAGCTTTTTTAATAAAAATAAATAAATAAAAAAATAATAAAAAACAGATTAACCAAGGTGCAGTTCATGGATCTATGAGTCTGTATTGTGCTGAACAAACAGTGAACTTGTGAATGTGATTTATTACTTTTCTAAATGGCACTGGCGTAAAGTCTTTTATCTCTTTGTGGGTTACAGTGTATTCAGACTGAAAGTATTTTTCTTTCACAAAGGAATGAATGCTGGGCTGATTTGTGAGGTTGTGCAATAAGCACAAACCTCTGAGATGTAAAGTGATGAAAGAGTGACTAGTGTATGTCAAGAGTAAAATAAATGGGAAATTGCCAGGTAAGAGGTTTTCTCCACTCACTGACCTTGATTTGAGAGTCCTTCAATAACAAATCGTTTAAAAAACTATTCAGTGTAAGAAAAAACTGTAAGAATCAGTACGTTAGCATGTCATCTTTATTTCTGCTTATAACACATTTTTAAAATTCTCTAGTGAATATTTTTTCAGGGTAGTGTTTTTTAAGGTTTTGTATGACTCCAAAATAAATAAATAAATAAAAACCATAGGCAAAGGCAAAAACATTTCCACCATTTTTGCTAATAAAAAATATTCAGTTCATCGAACACACATTGTCCATAGCGGTTTATAAGAATGTGGTTAATATTGTTCAGTTAATGTGTCAAATTATAGACCTGAATCATGCTACCCAATTCATGATGTATTATTAGTTTAGATGCTGCTTAAACAATCATTTTTGGCTTAAAAATTATATTTTTGACCTTAGCACACGGCAGAAAACATGGCATAATTCTGACTATTATATTTATCTAAACTACAGTTGTTGTTGTTGTTGTTTTTGTTTTGTTTTGTTATAATTTAGTTGTTTTGGCTACACCATGTTTTATTTAGCCTATATACGATGAGTATTACATTATAGAACATTATTGAACTGCACTTTATATCGATCAGCCTATCATTTGTGGCTGAAGTAATTTTTTATATAACTTTGTTATTTTTTTACGTTTTTTTTCTGAAGTTATATTTCTGGAACATAATTCTGCTCTAAACGGGTTAATGTCATAGTGTCATAGTGTAAGAAGCTTTTGTTTGGTTGTCAGGTTACTAAATGAAGCCAATTTTGTCTGCTGTATTTACGCTGTGTTTTTTCTAACTCTGCATAAGAGGGCGCTATACATCTATATACAGTAAATGCCGTAATCTGCGAAAACCCACCCTACCCTTCAACTTTCCCCCTGCATGACCTCACACCTCAAATCCGCCGCAGGCGACAAGACAAAAACACTGCGCTGCCATTATAATCAACGAATCTGTCTCATCCAGCGCTGTCCGCGCGTGCAGAGTAGATGTGTTGTGAGGAAACACGCTGCTCCGCGCTCGCTGACGTCACCCAGGCGAGCGCTTCCATAGATGCCAGCGCGAGAGTACAGTGACAGCGCCTCGTCCACTGTACGCAACACTGAGTGCGGCTCAGGCTACACGCGAGAAACGGCAGTATATCATGGAATGTGACTAGGCAACATTCCGCTTTATTTGAGAGCCGTTTGTCAGCCCTGCACTCACGGGGTGCAGTACTTTAAGACCACCGTTCCCATTATTACCAAGTGATCACTGCCCTCCTGTCATCCGGGAATCACATTGGGAGCTTTAATATTTTTGTTAATTATTCCTCGAGTTTCTATCCCACTCTAACGGTTCGACTCTGACTTCAAGCTGAGGCTCAATAACTGGATTTCATCGGTGGAACAATAGGCGACTGCTGCTGTCTGGATATTAAATTGTACTCTTGGATTATTGTCTCAGCATCATGAGCACGAGTGGTGAGTAAATTCTTGCTGTTGTTACCTTGGTCTAATTGCAAAGATGAATGAAATACTAATGCGAAATAATCGAAGCAGATAAAATAAATAAACTTTATCTTGACCTTGTAAAATAAGAGCAATTTGTCTTATTCAAGCGTTTGACTTCTTGCTCCTGACCTGTCCCAAATGTATTCTCACTGAATCAGGTATTTGGGATAATGATGATAATATTAATAATAATAACAATGCTTGCTTCTTATTATAAATATAATATTAATAATTTAATTTGATGTGACGTTTATAATAATAAGAGCAAGTTTATTATTATTGATAATTTTATTGTTACTATTATGTTTTTTTATTCAGTGTTACAAATGAGCCTCGTGCTCAGGATTGATAAAGAGGACTTATTCCTTTAATCTCTGTAGAAACTGACTTTGGTCATGAAAGAAATTGCACAATCTGTCAATTCAAAAAGCAGTAGAAAATGATTCTGACAAACTAATGTCCATTTGGAGATAAAATGTGTGGAGAAACGTTATAAAACCTGGTGTCTAGTTCAATGCCAGTCAGATACACTTGGTTGCATTCATTCAGCTCTCATCCAATCATAATAATTAAATCATCATTACTGATTACATGCTGTATAAATCTGTCAGATGAAAACACGAACACCAACAGAGAATGAAAGAGAGAGACATGCTCATATTGGTGACCAGCTCTCTTTTGAGGCTTGTGCTTCAGTCAGCTGATGTTGCAAGGGCATGACCGCTGCTTTCCATAATGATCCTTTTATGAGAAAAGTTCAGCAGAACCTTAAGAACAAAGCCGATGGGCAACAGAGCTGTTTTTCCCAGTTTGTTGTACCTACTTGGCAAATGCCATGCTGTTCTGCGATTAGAAATGGTTTGCATTCTTGCAGCAAGCTGCTAAATTGCATTCTCAGCTGATGAGCGGATGGACAAACTTTGCCCACATGTGTCCAACGCTCTGAACTAATCCCCCCACTATTCTCCCCTTAGTTCAGGACACACTGCTCACAGTACCATCACACTCTGATAAAACAATGTCACATCAGCCAATTGAGCTTGCCTTGTTCACTCTTTCAAAGCGTTTTGCCTGTCAGCTGGGGATGGGTTTGCTACCAGCGTGCTACCGTATGGAAAGCGAGTGTTTTCAGCTGCAGACAGATGGCAAGGGAATGAGTGCAGTGTCCAGGTTGTGTCTCATGGCAAAAAAGGTCTAGCTGGAGAGCTACCAACAAATGAACAGGCATGCCTGGTCCACAAGAGACCTGGAGTGTTTTGTAGAACATGCGCATAATCAGATATTTTTACTTTGTAAAATAGACATGATCTTTTTTTAAGTAGAAAGTCCCTACCAAACTGGACGACTGACACAAAGCCTCAAACTTATCTGATAGCCACTCATGCAGACATATGGCATTTGAATGGAGTGGTAGCTGTGCACAATGGCGTGTTGTACACTACATTGAGCATGATTGCCTTGAGCCAGTGAAAATGCCGAGCAATTACACTAAGGTCACTTGGTCTCTCTTCATTTGCTGCTCCCTACATTTCTTATGGTCAACTGCCATTATCACCTGCCCTCTATTTTCTGCACCACTGAGAGAACAGACAAACAATTGAGTAGCGGAATGCTCTTTTAATCTGTTTTCCATTCCCTGTGCTTTCTGTCTTTCTTTCTCTCTTTGTTCTCCCATTTGATCCTCCTGAGTGAATATCAAGGGTTTCTGTGCCTTAGAGATTCAAGTAAATGATAGATAGTGATTGTTTATTATCAGGGGCGTTGGACGGATTCGAAAAGTAAAGCAGGGGTACATATTGTATAAGCCTGACTTATGAATATTATTTAAGTGACATAACAATTGGCCAGTGAATGTGAGTGTGAGTCTAGCCTAAGGTTCCTGAAGTCAACCTATTCTTCTCTTCCTGTGTCAGCATTCACGGCTCAGCATCCCTCACATCAATCACACGCTAGCACACACATTTATAGAAGTGCCTCCGTCACCACTGTCCTGTCATGCCAGCCCTGTGGAGAGCAATGAGGTGGAACCCAACTTGCCTTCAATGTTCAGACCTCGTCAACAACACTTTCCATACAACAGTTATCTGCAACTACGGCACCCTTTTTAGCCTTCTGTAAAATGAATGCACTTTTTCTTTTGACAGTTTGTGTTAATAAAATGAGCATGAATCAATATTAGGAACAAACAAAATCATTTTAATTAACTGTCATTGTATTAGCATATAGAATTAGCTTATTATGTGGTATGTGCTCAAGAAAACATTGGATTAATTTACTGTCATTATGACAAAGCCCATTATTAATCACAAAAATTGCTTTGTAAATTATATGCAGGAGTGATTTGAACAGTGGGTAGGGAGGGCACATGATTACTCAGTTCGGCTCATGAATATTAATTAAGTGATTTAAAGTTTGCTCAGTAGTTCAGTCTTAAAAATAAAAGTTCTTTATTGGAATCTAATGTTCCATGAAGAATCTTTAAAGGGATAGGTCACCTAACAATGAAAAGTCTGTCATTAATTACTCTCATGTCATTCCAAACCTGTAAGACCTTCGTTCATCTTCTAAACACAAATTAAGTTATTTTTTGATGAAATCCGAGAGCTTTCTAGACAGCAAGGGAACTAC